AAATTAAACAGGCATGCCTACAAGGGGCTACTGTTAAGATGATTAATGTTGCACAGGAAGGATCACGATAGTCTGCAATAATAATACACACTTATGCAGTACTTACTGTCTACCAGGCACATCCTATGCACTGTTATACTAACTCAGATCTTAACTCCACTTACATATATTAACTCTACGACATAGGTACTATCATTATTCCCATTTAGGTGCAGTAACTTACAAAGGTCATATAGTTACTTCAGAGTAGAGATGGAATTTGAACCCAGATAGCCTAGCTCTGATGTCTGTATTCTTAACCACTGCACCGTACTGCCATTTATTAAGATCAACCTCCACGCAAAGATGTAACTTCCCTGACAAACAGCTGAGCCAGGGATAACACAGCCAGCAGAGAACACTCAAAATCAAAGTCAAATGTTGGGTTCAAGAGAGATAGAAAACTTCAAGGGCCATGTAGGCATTCTGACTACCAAGCAGATAGGCATTGTTCAGGGCAGAGGGCCTAAAAGCAATATCCCGGCAGATATCAACCCCTAAGCTCAGAGCCTAATAGTGATGCTTTACATAAACACATAAGCAGAGACAAACAAAGTTTCACGATAAATGCCCTTAAGCAAGCAGCAACACCTAAGATGATTCACATGGGATTGGAACACAGGTGATTCACACAACCACTCCAGTTAAGAAGCAATTTCTGAGCAGGAAAGTGGAGACTGACGTCTGAATCTGCTGAACATACTTTAATGTTGACTTTATATAGAGTATGCATTAAAAACTATAAAGAGCACCAGGTGCAGTGGCTCACGCATGTAATCCCAGCACTTTGGGAGGCCAAGGTGGGCGGATCACGAGGTCAGGAGATCAAGACCCTCCTGGCTAACATGGTGAAACCTCGTCTCTACTAAAAATACAAAAAAATTACCCGGGCGTGGTGGTGGCTGCCTGTAGTCCCAGCTAGTCGGGAGGCTGAGGCAGGAGAATCACTTGAACCCGGGAGGTGAAGGTTGCAGTAAGCTGAGATCGTGAAACTGCACTCCAGCCTGGACAACAGAGCGAGACTCCATCTCAAAAAAAAACCAAAAACACAAAACTATAAATAGCGAGGCATAGGTTTAATCATTCCCAACCTGTTAATGTCTCAAGGAGTGAATGTGCGTATATACATACACATTGGACTAACAGAGCATCTGGCACATTTAATGAATGGGATACATTCATTTATTCAGTTAATACATGTTACTTGGTACCTACTGATACAGTTTGACTGTGTACCCACCCAAATCTCATCTTAAATTGTAGTTCCCATAATCTCCATGTGTTGTGGGAGGGACTCAGTGGGAGGTAACTGAATCATGGAGGCAGTTACCCCCAAGCTGCTGCTCTTGTGACAATGAGTTCTCACAAGAGCTGATGGTTTTATAAGCGGCTTCCCCCTTCACTTGGCACTCATTCATTCTCTCTCCTGCTGCCCTGTGAAGAGGTGGCTTCTACCATGATTGTAAGTTTCCTGAGGCCTCCCCAGCTATGTGGAACTGTGAGTCAATTAAACCTGTTTTCCTTTATAAATTACCCACTCAGGTAATTATTTATAGCAGTGTAAGAATGGACTAATAAAGCAAATTGGTACCCCAGAGAGTGGGATGCTTCTGTAAAGATACCCAAAAATGTGTAACTGACTTTGGAACTGGATGACAGGTAGAGGCTGGAACAGTTTGGAGGGCTCAGAAGAAGACAGGAAAATATGGGAAAGTTTGGAACTTTCTAGAGGCTTGGAAGGCTCAGAAGACAGGCAGACGTGGGAAAGTTTGAAACTTCCTAGAGACTTGTTGAATGGTTTTGACCAAAATTCTGATAGTGATATGGATAATGAAGTCCAGGTTGAGGTGGTCTCAGATGGAGATGAAAAACTTGTTGGGAACTGGAGTAAAGGTAGCTCTTGCTATGCAAAGAGACTGGCAGCATTTTGCCCCTGCCCTAGAGATCTGTGGAACTTTGAACTTGAGAGAGATGATTTAGGGTATCAGGCAGAAGAAATTTCTAAGTAGCAAAACATTCAAGAGGAAGCAGAGCATAAAAGTTTGAAAAACTTGCAGCCTGACAATGTGATAGAAAAGAAAAATCCATTTGCTGGGAAGAAATTCAAGCCCACTGCAGAAATTTGCAGAAGTAACAAGGAGCCAAATGTTTATCACCAAGACAATGGGGAAAATGTCTCTAGGGCATGTCAGAGACCTTGCAGGCAGCCCCTCCAATCACATGCCAGAAGGTCTAGGAGGGAAGAATGGTTTCATGAGCTGGGTCTAGGGCCCCCGCTCTTGTGTGCAGTCTCAAGACTTGGTGCCTATGTCCCAGCCACTTCAGCTTGGCTAAAAGAGGTCAAGGTACAGCTGAGGCTGTTGCTTCAGAGGGTATAAGCCCCAAGCCTTGGCAGCTTCCACGTGGTGCTGGACCTGCAGATGCATAGAAATCAAATACTCAGGTTTGGGAACCTCTGCCTAGATTTCAGAGGATATATGGAAACACTTGAGTGTCCAGCCAGAAGTTTGCTGCAGCGGTGGGGCCCTCATTGAGAACCTCTGCTAGGGCAGTGGGGAAGGGAAATGTGGGGTTGGAGCCCTCACACAGAGTCCCTACTAGGGCACTGCCTAGTGGAGCTGTGAGAAGAGGGCCACTGTACTCCAGACCCCAGAATCGTAGATCCACTGACAGCTCACACTGTGAGCCTGGAAAAGACACGCAATGCCAGCCCATGAAAGCAGCTGGGAGTGGGAGCTGTACCCTGCAAAGCTATAGGGATGGAACTATCCAAGGTCGAGGGAGCCCACCTCTTGTGTCAGTATTACGTGGATGTGAGACATGGAGTCAATGGAGATTATTTCAGAGCTTTAGGATTTAATTACTGCCTCACTAGATTTCAGATTTGCATGGGGCCTGTAGCCCCTTTGATTTGGCCAATTTCTCCCATTTGGAATGCGTGTATTTACCCAATGCCTATACCTCCATTGGATCTAGGAAGTAACTAACTTGCTTTTGATTTTACAGGCTTCTAAGAGGAAGGGATTTGCCTTGTCTCAGGTGAGATTTCAGACTTGGACTTTTGGGTTAATGCTGGAATAAGACTTCGGGGAACTGTTAGGAAGGCATGATTGCGTTTTGAAATGTGAGATTTGGGAGTGGCCAGGGTGGAATGATATGGTTTGGCTGTGTACCCACCCAAATTTCATCTTGAATTGTAGTTCCCATAATCCCCCTGTGTGATGGCAGGGATCCAGAGGGAGGTAATTTGAATCCCGGGGGCGGTTACCCCCACGTTGGTGTTCTCATGGCAGTGAGTGAGTTCTCACAAGAGCTGATCATTTTATAAGGGGCTTCCCCCTTCGCTTGGCACTCATTCATTCTCTCTTCTGCCACCCTGTGAAGAGGTGCTTTCCACTATGATTGTAAGTTTCGTGAGGCCTCCCCAGCCATGTGGAACTGTGAGTCAATTAAACCACTTTCCTTTATTAATTACCCAGTCTCAGGCAGTTCTTTAGGCAGTATGAGAACAGACTAATACACCTACTACGTGGTCACCTTTGGAGACATGCACATGCAACCCTGTTCTCCATCCCAAAGGCCATGCACGTGTCCACTGTCAGACATTTCTGGTTCCCATCCATGTATTCCTCTGCTCTGGATGCAATGCTTCCATCTCCATGTTTGGGCTTACCCCCTGATCTGCAATTTCTTTTTTTATGAGACAGAGTCTCACTGTCTCCCGGGCTGGAGTGCAGTGGCGCAATCTCGGCTCACTGCAAGCTCTGCCTCCCAGGTTCACACCATTCTCCTGCCTCAGCCTCCCCAGCAGCTGGGACTACAAGCGCCCGCCACCATGCCTGGCTAATTTTTTGTATTTTTAGTAGAGACGGGGTTTCACCATGTTAGCCAGGATGGTCTCGATCTCCTGACCTCATGATCCGCCCGCCTCGGCCTCCCAAAATGCTGGGATTACAGGCGTGAGCCACCGCACCCAGCATGAACTGCAATTTCTATGTCTCCAGCTAGACTGATAACATTTATCACCTCTGAGTACCTAACAGCTGGGATAGAGACTTACTCTCCAAATGCAGCTCCACATAAGCAGGAGCCTGTTCCCTACTATACCCATGCATCTCAGCTATGCCTGGCACCGAATCAGTGCTCAGTAAACTACCTGGTGAATCACTGCTACAGTGATCTTGACACAGGTGTCAGGTCTCTGCCACTGTGGAACTTACCAGCTAGGGGGCACTGCCTGAGAAGAGGCTGGCAGTGGTCACTTCTGCCCACCTTTGGTGTTCAGAAGACAGGCTCTGGAGCCAGACTGCCAGTATCTGGAAGAGCTGAGATGCACACTCAGGCACTCTGATCCCAAGGGTCTGGGATAAGGACTGTGGACTTGTATTGCTTTCTTTTATCCTCATAATAAGCTCATTTTATGGAAGGAGGGTGGCTGAGGCTGACAGGTTAATCTGGCAAGTACCACCAGATGTATTTCAGATTTTAAAAGTTTTCCATTTTTAGGAAGGTAATATGGTGAATATACCATATTTTATACAACACTTCCAGCAGGCTCTGAACTATGCTCCATATCAAACACATTCAGATGCTTGCAGCAAATCATATGAACAAACACACTTAGTATAATTACAGCCTCGCTTTCCTGCAGATTAGGCTTTGCTACCAAAAGAATTGCAAAATATTTTCTAGTTTTCAGAGTGTGTTGGATTTGGGATTTGCAGGCGAGAGACTGTGGACCCGTAAATATGAAGCTGTTAGAAGAGAAAGTGGCACTGAGTAGGTGCTGTGGGCCTCGCATGCAGCAGCCACTTGGTACATGTTAGTTTCCTTCTCTCCAGCCAGGCGCTGATAGCACCTGAGCCTCTCATAGCGCTCCCCTTCTATTTCCCCAAGAGATGAGATAATCCCCACTCCTCTCTTGCCCCAGAAGGCAGTAGAACTTGCAAATTCCTGCTTACCAGTCTGTATGGGCATCATCGATCACCAACAGGATCCTGGGTCTTTGAACAATGGGCGTGGAGGGACCTGGAGGCTCCATCAGTCCTGAGGTGGCCTGAGGGGCCTGCTTCATGGCACTGGAGAGGGAGCTAAAAAGGCTGGATCCTGGAGAGGAGAAGGAGGCAGCCAGGGGCTGGGGGTGCCTCCTCTCCATGGCCGGGGAAGCAGGTGAGCTGGTAGAGCTATCTGGGCGCTGCAGGTCCGTCATATAGCCATTAGGCAGGTTGGCCACGAAGCTGCTGTCAGAGAGACGTCGCCGGAGGAAATTCATGGCTGTGGATGGATGGAGATGACTGGCTCCTACCCGGATGTGTGTAGGTGAGGCCCAGAGGACAGGCTGCTGCCAGGTACAGGGAGTGGTAGGACTTCAGCCAGAAGAGCCGGGGGGATTTTGCACAACCAGCAGTCAGCTTTAGCTGCCTTTGTTTACCTGCTGGAAATAAGCCAACAAATACATAAGTGGAAACGACCTCCACCCCCTTAAAAGCAAACAGATACAGCACTTTCCCGCCCCACTGCAGGTGGCAATGTAAATTAGGACATCCTTCTGGAAAGGAATTTGGCTACATGTATTAGGAGGATAGCTTTTTAGCCTACAGTTTCCATTTTCTGGAATTACATTGCAAAGAAAGATTCTAAGTTACAGAAAAAGCTTCATGCACAAATATGTTAATCACAGGTTATTTACACTAGCAAAATACTGGGAAGTATCTCAACATTCAACCACGGTTTAACGAATAAGTCAACTACAGCACAGTTACTCAATGAACCTTTTGTGGCTATTTTTAAAGGTGTCTTGAAGAAGGGATTTTGGTAACAGAAACAATTTCGTGTTTTAATGACAAGTTTAAAAGATAATGATTCAAAATTATAGGAACCAAATGACTACAAAGATGTACAAGTTGAAAGAACAAAACTTTGGAAATAAAAGAAATCAAAGTGTTAACAGTGATTATATTTTGGTAATGCAAGTACATGCCTTTTTTTCTTTTTCTTTCCACTTACTTATATTTTTCAAATTTTTTAGAATGCTTATTACTATGGACTGGCCTGCCCCCCACCTCACCAAACTTATATGTTGAAGATAATGCTGAATATGATGCTTTGGAATTGAGCCCTTTGGGAGGTAATTATGGTTAGTGGGGTCATTAGGGTGTCCCCCACGCGATGGAAGCACAGCCCTTATAAGAAAGGATGCCAGAGAGCTTGCTTTCCCCGCACTATGTGAAAGCGAAGGTAAAAGGCAGCCATCTGCAAACTAGGAGAGGGCCCTCACCAGAACCAGGCAGAGCTGACACCCTGACCTTGGACTTCCCAGCCTCCAGAATTGTGAGAAGTAAGTATCTGTTGTTTAACCCACCCAGCCAATGGTATTTTGTTATGTCAGCAGAAGCAGATAATATACACATCCATTGCTTTTCTAAACAGAATAACATAAGTGAAAAACAACCCACACTGTTCATTTGAGATCAAAACATCCCACTGAGAACAATGAGTATTTAAACCATTAGACTTTATATTTTTTGTTAAGATTATTATATACATTTTTTTTTTTGAAACAGGGTCTCACTTTGTCACCCATGCTGGAGTGCAGCGGCATGATCTTGGTTCACTGCAACCTCTACCTCCCAGATTCGAGAGATTCTCCTGCCTCAGCCTCCCAAGTAGCTGGGATTACACGCACCTACCACCATACCCAGCTAATTATTGTATTTTTAGTAGAGATGAGGTTTCATCATGTTGGCCAGGCTGGTCTCAAACTCCTGGCCTCAAGTAATCTGCCTGCTTTGGCCTCCCAAAGTGCTGGGATCACAGGCGTGAGTCACTGTGCCCAGCCAGTATTTTTATTGTAGTAAAATTTACTTAAGATTGAAATGCACAGTTCTTAGGTATATGCTTCTTTGAGTTTTGATAAATATATATACTGGTATAATGTTTATTATATTTCTATTACCTCAGAAAGTTCTTTTGTGCCCCTTGTAGTCCATCCATACCCCCTAATAGGCAAACTCTTCTGATGCATGTCACCATTTATTAATTTTATCTGTTCTTGAGCTTCATATAAATGTAATCAAATATATTATGCTTTTGTTAATAACTGCTTCCCTCAATGGTTCTTAGATGCAATATGTTGTATAGCAGTCATTCTATTTTTAAAATCGCTGAATATCATTCTAATGGATAGATAAACCACAAATTGCTACTCTGTTCTCCTGTTGATGAAAATTTGAGGTCAGGCATGGTGGCTCACACCTGGAATCCCAGAACTTTGGGAAGCTTCAGCAGATCACCTGAAGCCAGGAGTTTGAGACCAGCCCGGCCAACATGGCAAAACCCCCTCTCTACTAAAAATAAAAATAATTAAAAAGAAAAAAAAAAAAAAAGCTGGGTGTGGTGGTGTGCACCTGTACGCCCAGCTACTTGGGAGGCTGAGGCATGAGAATTGCTCGTACCCAGGAGGTGGAGGTTGCACTGAGCCAAAATTACACCACTGCACTCCAGCCTGGGTGACAGAGTGAGACTTTATCTCAAAAAAAAAAAAAAAAAGAGAGAGAGAGAGAAAAGAAAAAGAAAGGAAAAAGAAAAGAAAAATAAAATTGGAAATGTTTTCAGTTTTCAGGAATTATGAATAAATTGCTGCAAGAAATTTTTATTTAAGTCTTTTTGTGGAGATAGATAGATGATGAATGGATGGATGGATAGACAGATTGAGAAGTAGATCTTTTCTTTGAGGAAATACCCAGGAGTTAATTTGTTGGGTCATGGGGTAAGTGTATGTCTAACTTAATAAGAAACTGTCAAAGTTTCCCATAGTGGTTGATTTTGCACACTCCATTTGAGAATTCCCGTTCCTCCACATCCTTTCTCACATTTGGTTGTTGTCTTTTTCATCTTACCCGTTCTAGTGGGTGTAGCACAGTACCTTATTGTGTTTTAAATTTATTTTGTCTGATATTTAATGAGACTGAACAAGTTTCACAGGTTTACTGGCCAGTGACATATCTTCTTTTGTGGAGTATCTATTCAAATCTTTGGCCCACTTCTAAAAGGCAAGTTGTTTATCTTTTTATTTTTGATTTGTAGGAGTTCTTCATATATTCTAGATACAAGTCCTTTGCCAGACACGTACATTCTAAACATCTTCTACCATTCTGTGGCTTGCTACTTCATTTCCTTCATGAGCAGAAGTATGGCAGAATAAAACAACTCTTAAAAAAGTGAATTATTTGAGATAAAAGAATCCCAATAAGAAAAAAAATCATACCATAGGATGAGATCACACTGGTATTGGGAATACTTTACATATTCTTTCATATATATGTATCTAAACACACACATACATATATGTATGTAATATAAATATATATACAAAGTCTATTATACATATCTGCAGATGTTTTGATAAACAGAAACTTTTATTTTTATTTTTTTTATTTTTTTTTGTTTCAGACGGAGTTTTGCTCTTGTTGCCCAGGCTGGAGTGCAATGGCACGATCTCAGCTCACCACAAACTCTGTCTCCTGGGTTCAAGCGATTCTCCTGCCTCAGCCTCCCGAGTAGCTGGCATTACAGGCATGCACTACCAGACCTGGCTACTTTTGTATTTTTAGTAGAGATGGGGTTTCTCCATGTTGGTCAGACTGGTTGCGAACTCCCAACCTCAGTTGATCCGCCCACCTCGGCCTCCCAAAGTGCTGGGATTACAGGCATGAGTCACTGTGCCCGGTCAGAAACTTTTATTTTTATGAAACCGAATTTATCAAATTTTTCATTTATGGTGTTCCTGTATCTGTTCTTAAAAATCTCTGCCAGGCCGGGTGTGGGGGCTCACACCTGTAATCCCAGCACTTTGGGAGGCTGAAGTGGATGGATCACCTGAGGTCGGATGTTTAAGACCAGACTGACCAACATGGCGAAACCCATCTCTACTAAAAATACAAAAATAGCCAGGCATGGTGGCGCATGCCTGTAATCCCAGCTACTTGGGAGGCTGAGACAGGAGAATCACATGAACCCAGGAGGTGCAGGTTGCAGTGAGCCAGGGTCGCGCCATTGCACTCCAGCCTGGACATGAGCGAAACTCCATCTCAAAAAACGACAGAAAAAAAAATCTGCCTACCCTAAGATCACAGTCATACCGTTCTGTAACGTCTTATAGAAGCTTTATAGTTCTACCTTTTCTACTGAGGTTGGGGATCCATCTAAACTTGATTTTTGAGTGATATGAAGTAGAGTATGAAGTTCCTTTTCACCCCCGTTCATTTATCCAGGTTGCCAGCACCATTTATGAAAGTATTTTTCTCCCATTGAATTGCTTTGGTGGCCTTGTTGGCACCAATTGGCTGTACATGTGTGGGTCTACTTCTGGACTGTTTAATACACTCCATTGATCTATTCTTATATTTATTGATTGCTATGGCTTTCCAGAAAGTTTTAAAATCAGGTAAAGTGAGTCCTCCCACCTAAATTTTCTGTTTTAAGATTGTCCTAAGTATCTTAGGTCTTATTTTCATATGCATTTTAAAATCAACTTTTATGAAAAAGTCTGTTGGAATATTGTTCAAGATTGCACAGACTGAGCAGAATTGTCACTGAACAATATTGGTTTTTCTGCTTTATGAACACAGTGGACCACTATATTCAGAAAGTTTTTCGTGATTTTCAATATAGAGATCTTGCATACACTTTGCTAAATTTACTCCTATTTTGTTTGGGGGTTTTTTGCATGTTTTTAAAATGACACTGTTTTCTAAGTTTCACTTTCCATTTGTTTGCTGCCAGTATAATATTATTTTCAATATATCGACATGCTAAATTCAAGTGTTGTTGCTACTAGTTGTTTATATAGATTCCTTAATACTTTCTACTTAAATAATCACGTAATCTACAAAGCGAGATATCTTTACTTCTTTCTTTCCAATCTAAATGACTTTTACTAATTTCCCTTATCTGATTGTCCTAACTAGGGCCTCCAATATTGAACAGAAATCATGAAAACAGAAAAGTCCAATATTGAACACACCTTACTTTGTTCCTAATCTTAGGGGAAAAACACTCAGTATCTCACCATTAATGTGGTGTTAACTGTAGGTTTTTTGGTAAATTACTAGATTCAGGCAGTTCCCTTTATTATTATTTGGATGAGAGTTCTTATCATGAATGGGAGTTGAATTTGCCAAGTGATTTACTAAATGTATTGAGAGGATTATGTGTTTTTGAAACCATTTATTTGCTTAACAATGTGGTAAATTACATTGATTGATTTTTAAATGTTAAACCAAACTTGCATTCCTGGGATAAATCCCACTTGATGATAGTGTATTACCCTTTTTATATATTGGTGGATTCAATCTGTTAACATTTTGCTATTTTTGTGTCTATGTTCATGACAAAAACATTGGTCTGTAGTTTTATTTTTTGGCAATGTCTTTG